TCCATAGATATGCTCTGCAAGAAATGTGTAAGTTCCTGAGACAGAAGAAAAGGATATCTGACGGAAATTTCTATTTGGATTCAAAGGAAGAATGCCAAAAATGGTAAATATGAGTTTTAAACATTCTTAATCTCTTTAAATGATAATTGACTATTTAAAGCAAAAACAGGAATGAAGTATAAGATTTCTAACATGTGGAAGTAAACTGTACGACAACAATAGCACCAAGGACCAAGGAAATGGAAGTATACTATTTTAAGAATCTTATACTATACCTGAAGTCATTTGTTATTTAAGGCAGAGGATGATAAATTAAAGATATAGAATATAAATCCTAGAGCAGCAGTTCAAAGACATCATCTTAGCACCCTTTATACCAAGAGTCAGCAAACTTCCTATTAAGGACCATATAATAAATATTTTAGGCTTTCTGGGCCATAAAAAAGGGTCAATAAATCTCAGACGACCAAAATAACATTGGTATGTTATGGGACTACAACAGAATCAAATTAGAAATATGTAACACAAATATATTAGAAAAAGACCCAAATAATTGGAAATTAAACAACATAGTTCTAAACAATCCATGGGTCAAAACAAAACAAAACACCCACAACATAAATAAGAAAATATTTAACTGAATAAAAACATAGCACATCTAAAGTTGTATCTACAACTACAAGTGATTAAAGAGAAATAATTTTAAGCGCCTAAATAAGGAAAGAAGTTATTAAAAAAAAAATCAATGATTTAAGCACACACCTTAAAAATGAAGCAATTTTAAACCCAAGGTAGAAAAAAAAGGAAATAACTTAGAGTAGTTATCAGTAAAGTAGAAAACGGATAATACATAAACAAAGTAAAAAACAGAAAAGATTAATTGATAAATCCTTAGCAACACTGACCAAAAACAAAATAAAACACCAAAGACGTATTAGGAATGGGGGGGGGGGGAACGGGACTTCAACAAATAAAGATAACATATAAAAGAATAATTAATGAACAGTCTGGATATTATGAACAACTTTATGCCAATAAATTCAATATATTTAAACAAATTTTCTCGAAAGAGAAAATTAACCAAAACTGACATAAAAAACAGAAAATCTAAATACCCTGTATCTAGTAAAGGAATTAAATATCAATCAAATTCCCACAAAGAAAATCCAGGTCCAGAAAAAATTCACTGGTAAATTATTTCAAGTATTTACAGAAATAATACCAATCTTACACAAACTCATTTAGAAAAGAAAGGGCAGGGACGCCTGGGTGGCTCAGTTGGTTAAGGGACTGCCTTCGGCTCAGGTCATGATCCCAGGGTCCTGGGATCGAGGCCCACATTGGGCTCCCTGCTCAGCGGGGAGTCTGCCTCTCCCTCTCCCACCGCCTGCCGCTCCCCCTGCTTGTGCTCTCAAATAAATAAATAAATAAATAAATAAATAAATAAATAAATAAATAAAGAGGGCAATATGTCCCCAAATAAAAATATCAATACCCCTCATGAACATATATACAAATATCTTTTTTAAAAAATGAGAAAATTAAATCCAGCAATACATAAATGAGATAAATACATCATGACTCAATGGGTTTGTCCCAGTTGTCAAAGTGTTTGTGAACCCCTATTGGTCTCTGAAATTCTTTCACAGGGCCAGCAAGATCAAAACTATTTTCATAATACTAATGGTGGAAAATCACTTGAGGCTAAAAATTTTAATAGTTTAGCACATATCAAAGTAATGATATCAAATAAATTGGTTAAAATGATTAATTTTATTAAATCTCAACCTCTGAATACATTTCTTTGTGATATTCTGTGTTATGAAATGGGAAGTACCCATTCAAAAAAGACTTAGTTGTCCTGGCAACCAAGATCTCCTTCAGTAGGTGAATAAAACTGTGTACATTCAGAAAATGGACTATATTCAGCACTAAAAAGAACTGAACTATCAAAGCCATGAAGAGACATGGAGGAAACTTAAATGCATATTACTAAGTGAAAGAAGTCAATCTGAAAAGGGCACATACTGTAAGATTCCAACTACATGACATTCTGGAAAAAGGCAAAACAATGGAGACAGTAAAAATATCAATGGTTGTCAGGGGGTTGAAGGGATGAACAGGCAGAGCACACAGAATTTGGGGGGTAATAAAACTACTCTGTATGATACTATAATGGTAAATACATGTAATCATACATTTGTCCAAACCCACAGAATATACAACACCAAGAGTGAATCCTAATGTAAACCACGGACTTTGGGCAACAATGATGTGTCAATATAAGTTCATCAATTATAACAAATGTGGGACACCTGGGTGGCTCAGTCAGTTAAGCTTCTGCCTTCGGCTCAGGTCATGATCCCAGGATCCTGGGATCAAGTCCCACATCGGGCTCCTTGCTCAGCAGGGAGCCTGCTTCTCCCTCTGCCTGCCGCTCCCCCTGCTTGTGAGCTCGCATGCACACACTCTCTCTGACAAACTCTTTAAAAGAAAAATTATAACAAATGTGCCATCCTGGTAGGGGATGTTGGTAATGGAGGAGGCTCTGCATGTGTGGGGAAGAGGATATATGTGAAAGCTCTGTTTCTTCCACTCACTTTTTGCTATGAACCTAAAACTGTTCTAAAAAATAAAGTCTATTAAAAATATATCAGTGGGGCACCGGGGTAGCTCTGTCGGTTAAGCATCTAGCTCTTGATGTCTGACTCGATTTTGGCTCAGGTCATGATCTCAGGACTGTGAGATGGAGACCTGTGTCAGGCTCCTGCTGGGCACAGAGCCTGCTTAAGATTCTCTCTCTCACTCGCTCTGCCCCTACCACCTCCCTCTCTCTAAAAAAATCAGTCAATAAAATATATATGAAAATAATCAAGAAATAACACATCTGCATACCAAATATGATCATTTTCTTCAGGATAAGCTTGTGTAAATGTCTGAGTTGCAAACTGGACTAGTTGCTTTTTCAATGGAATATCATTTTTACTTAAAACTACAAATTATGGGTTTTTATAATCAAGTATTTAGCCAACATTTTCTCAAAAATAAATGAAGTGAGCTTGCTGCCTTAGGAAAAACAACTGACTACATATAGTTGCCAATGACAAAATTAGAGCTTTTGAGAGAAAATTAGAATTTTATATCCATCACTATGTACTTGGTACCTTTCCTGTTACAAATAGATTTTTATGCACAAAAGGTCACTGATGTGGTTTCTACCACAAACTAACCAATGATAAGCTATTACATGTTGAGTTTGGATGTACTATGAAAGAAAAATGTTCACAATTTTATCCGAAAAGATAACCTCCCTTTTCCAACTGTGAGGTCAGATCTCTTATATATACCTCAACTAAAACAACATATCACAACAGACTGAATGCAAAAGCAAATATGAGAATTCAGGTATCTCTATTAAGCTAGATTTTCAAGAGATTTGCAAAAATACAGAACACTGCCATCCTTTCATGATATTTTTGGGAAAACATTTCAAAATATTAAAATTAACATGTAATGGGTTTGTCATTGTTATTTCTAAATAAATAGGTTTTTTAACTTCAGTTTTAATTTCTAATATGGTAAATGTCAATAGATACAACTAATATATATGAAACCCTTTGGGGTTTAAAAACAGTAATTTTTAAGAGTTTAAATGGGGCTGCAAAAACCAAAAAATTTGAGAGTTGCACATTCCAGCAATGTACCATTTAACAATTAAAAAATCAATGAGGGGCGCCTGGGTGGCTCAGTCAGTTAAGCGTCTGCCTTTGGCTCAGGTCATGATCTCAGGGTCCTAGGATCGAGCCCATCGGGCTCCCTGCTTAGTGGGGAGTCTGCTTCTCCCTCTCCCTCTCCCTCTGCTCCTCCCCCCCCTTGCTCATGCACTCACGCTGTCTCTCAAATAATCTTTAAAAAAATAAAAATAAAAATCAATGAAATTAACTAGATTATCAGAATGAAGTAGGAAAATCATATGATCTTTTTAATAACTTAACAAAATTCAACAGCCATTCCTAATTTAAAAGGTCTTAGTGAACGAGCTAGGATAAGACAAAGATAAAGATGCCCACTCTCACCACTTTCTATTCAACACTGTATTATCAAAAATAATATAGCCCAAGGAAACAAGGCAATAAAAAGAAATAAAACTCATAAAGATTGGAAAGAAAGAAGTAAAAATACCTCTATTTGCAGATAACATGCTCATGTACATAAAAAGAAAACCCCAGTGGAATCTAGAAAATAACTAATGAAACTATTAAGTGAATTTAGCAAGGTTACAGGATGAAAAGGAACTGTATTTTTATAATCTACCCATGAACACCAGAAAACAAAATTTTTTAAAATACTGTTTAACAGCCACGAAACCTTAAGTTCAGAGACTCATATCTTGGCCTACTGCAGCTAAGCCCTTTTCCTTCACATGATAAAGTCATTTCCACATTACTTTTTTTGTTAAAAAAACCATGAAAATCCTACACTAAGAAGCTACAAAACTCAGTTTAAGAGAATATAAAGACCTAAACAGAGTACATCATTTTAAGGATTTTAATACTCAATACTGTTAAAATGCCCATTTTCCCCAAACTGAACAAAGAACCAATACAATCTCAAAATTCCAAGAGTCCACTTGTAAAAATTGACAGACTTATTCTAAAATTATAAGGAAACGCCAAGAAGCTAAAACAGCTAAGATATTCTTGCAGAAGTTGGAGAACTTACACTATTCATTTCAAGACTTACTATAAAGCTTTAATCACTAAGACCAGGTGTACTAGCATAAGTTATAATCAAATGTATCAATGAAACAGGAGTCCAAAAGTAAACCTACAACGGATTTTCAAAAAAGATTCCAAGACAAGTCAATGGGAAAAGGAGAGTATTTTCAATAGATAGTGCTGGAACAACTGGATATATATATACGGAAAAAAGGCATTTGGAATGCATTTCTAATAATTAAGAAACTGAATTATAGTAAGTGCTTTTATGATAATACTTACATTTTTTATTTTGATGTTTCCCCAATCATCATCCTGTTTTAAAAACAAATGAAAAACATTTAACCACTCCTGTATAATCTGAACATATTCTAATAATCAATGAATTTAAGCTACTCCAAAACAGAATAAATTTTTTGTTTGCAATTTTACTTAAAATTACTATAATCAAAAGTATTTTCTTAAAAATGCAGTCTTAAAGTCAGTAAGTCTTACAGTTGCTTAAACTACAAGACACAATCTAAAAGACAATAAACCTAACCGTACCAAAGGACTACAAAACACTTAATAACAGATACTAATTTTTTTGCATGTGTGTTACATGTATGGAACCAGCAAAACTAATTAGCTTATGTGACAGGAATGAAGAGTAACTTATGAAATAAGGTCTACATAATTAGAATGATTATATAATTTACTATCCAAAGCAGGAGATTCTTTTTTTTTTTTTTTTTGAATTTGACAGAGACCGACACCGCAAGAGAGGGAACACAAGCAGGGGAGTGGGAGAGGGAGAAGCAGGCTTCCTGTGGAGCAGGGAGCCCGATGCAGGGCTCAATCCCAGCACCTTGGGATCATGACCTGAGCCGAAGGCAGACGCTTAACAACTGAGCCACACAGGTGCCCCCAAAGCAGGAGATTCTTGAAAATGAAAGTGCTATTAAAAATTATACCAGGACCGGATGCCTGGGTGGCTCAGTCGTTAAGCATCTGCCTTCGGCTCAGGTCATGGTCCCAGGGTCCTGGGATCGAGTCCCACATCAGGCTCCCTGCTCAGCGGGAAGCCTGCTTCTCCCTCTCCCACTCCCCTGCTTGTGTTCCCTCTCTCGCTGTCTCTGTCAAATAAATAAAATCTTTAAAAAAAAATTTTTTTTTTAAATTATACCAGGACTACCAGAGGCAAACTAACCCTTAATAACATTTGCTGTGTCCACAAATGTTTTTAAAGTCCTAAATTTCATATCTATGAAGTAATTACTTTCACTTCAATATATTCAGTTAAAACAATTTTTTTTTAATGCCATGACTGGCCCCTAAATATCTTGGCCTACTGCAGCTAAGCCCTTTCCCTTCACAGGATAAAGTCATTTCCACATTACTTCTTTCTTACACAAGATGCCAGGCATGCAATATGCTTTTCCATTTGGTGGTGCCACTAATTATCTCTTTGGACATCCTGCTTCAAAGTGCAACAGTAACTTCCTAAATGTCCTTCTCAGTTTAAGGGCCATTTCTATTAATCATAAGGAATGATAACTATATATGCTCCCTCAGATCACTTATCTGAGGTCACACTAAGCTGAAAAATGAACCGAGATCTGCTTGACTTGTAAATCACATGCTCTTCTGGTACCTTACTATATGTTACTTAAATCTCTCTGAAGCTAAGTTTTCTCATTTCTGAAATTATAAAATACATTTATGCTCATTTTTAAAAAACAAAGAGTTGAGAATTAAAATAAAAGCCTGGCACAGAAAATTATTCAATAAGTGATAGCTATTAGTAGTCAGTTTCATTTACATACCATTTCTCTGTAATTCTCCACAGTACATTACCACCATATACAGCTCATCACAAATTCAATTATCAAGTTCACTAATGACTAAAAAGCTCATACTGCAACTTGAAGGGGAAACAATGTTTTCTTCACTAAATCAATTTTACTGCCCAGCTGACAGGGGCAACCAAGCCGTATCCCTAAGGTTAACTACAGCTCTTTGGCATTTCACACCAAACTCCTGAGGGTAATATTTTTTTAAAACTATACTTCCATAGTTTTACAAACAATAATACTTGCATCTTTTCGTGGCCCATCACCAATGATGCCAGTAAGTTTACAGACTCCTAACTGTAGTCAATATGACCATTCCAAGGAAACTAAAGGAAAAATTATGTTCTCCTTTTAAACACAAATTTTTTTCTCCCACCTCCAAACAGGTTTTACGCAGTGATTACACCCTAAGTGATAGGAGCCCTTTTTTAATGGGTAGAATATGAAACAGGCCAAAAGAAAAAATTAACAATTTTCCAGTATTCCAGAAGTGGGGCTTTGGTAAAGATGTTGAAATATTTTGAATTTCAACATTTGAATATACATAAAAAAAATACCTTCTGTAGTCATTTTTTTTTTTAACCTACCATATTGTTCCATATTTTGAACAGAGATAAAATTCTCTCCACCCCTATAACAGAAAACTACTAAGAATATATAGATTTTTATATTAATCTAAACAAAATAAAATACTTTTAACACACCCTCACAGAGAAAAAAATCCAAACAACAGAGATAAATGGAAAGTTCCTCACTCCCCTGACTCCTAGGAGTAGTCACTGATACAATGCATTTTAAAATAAAAATTTTAATGATGCTTTTATAATACAGTGTTTTGAAATGGCTACAATGTTCCTTCCTACCCTAACATGAATAAGACAGTTTTAAATTTATATAGACTATATACTCTCACCAAATAAAAAAACCCTCAAGTGCTACATTTTCTGGTGTTTGTTTCCACTAATTATATAATAGTATAGAATGAAAATCTGGACTAAATTTTACCTTCAATGTTCCTCCTTTCACCATAACTTTCTGTCTGGCCGGCTGGACTCCAGTCAATGCAAAAAGCTGAGCCTTGAACACCATTGGAGGTTCATCAGTGTTCAATTCTACACCTTCAAATTTCTCCTTTCCCCATTTCACGGTAACTGCAAACAAAACCATAATTTATTTTTTTCATTTATAAAATAAAAGGACTTCAGATTTAGAAGATCCCTAGAGGACCCATTAGTTTGGCTTTCAAGAACTAGCCTACGTCATTCCTCTTTATATGCTCATAATGTCTACCTAATCAGGAGTGACTTGAATGTAGTAGGTCCTGAATAAAATTTAATTGAATCCAATCCAACTTCTCATTTGATAAACGGAGTCTTAAGAGAAGATGATTGATTTACTAGTCACAAAACTAGTTGGTAAATATTCAAGCCTTCTGAATCCTACTCTAACAATCTCAGAAAAATATGATCACTCTGAAATACTTTCCAGAATAAGGTTCAGACTTCAAAATGTGTTTAACAATTATTAAAATCAGTACATACTGCTGGAATAGAAAGAGTAAAGTTAAAAAGATAATTAAAAAATAAAAAAATTTTTGGAAAAATAAAGCATATTTAAAACAGTTTAAGGAGGGGCGCCTGGGTGGCTCAGTCATTAAGCGTCTGCCTTCAGCTCAGGTCATGATCCCAGAATCCTGGGATCGAGCCCCGCATCGGGCTCCCTGCTCGGCGGGAAGCCTTCTTCTCCCTCTCCTTCTCCCACTCCCCCTGCTTGTGTTCCTGCTCTCACTCTCTCTCTCTCTGTCAAATAAATAAATAAAATCTTTAAAAAAAAAAAAAAAACAGTTTAAGGAATACTGAATTATAAGAAGAAAGGTTCAATGGGAGAATTGAAAGGTGTGGTTCCTAAGCAAGAGGTGGTTAAATATTAAGAATCCAAAGATACAACTAAATCATTAAAAAATACAGAACTCCTATTTTAGTCATTTGGATGGCTATTAAAAAAAGAAGACGACGAAGAAGAAAATACCAAGTGCTGGTGAGGATGTAGAAAACCTAGAACCCTCGAGCATTCCTGATGGGAATATAAAACAGTACAGCCACTGCAGAAGAAAGTATGGTGGTTCCTCAAAAAATTAAACTTATCATATGATCCAGCAATTCCTAAGTATATACTCAAAAGCGTGAAGCAGGGAATCAAACTGCTATTTGTATACCCTTGTTCATAGTGCATTATTCACAAAAGCCTCAAAGATGTGAGTGACCCAAGTGTCCATCAACAGATAAACGGATAAACAAAATGTGGTACAGACATAAAATGGACATTATTCAGCCTTAAAAAGTAATGAAATTCTTATACATGCTATACAACATGGACGAACTTTGGAGACATTATGCTAAACAAAATAAGCCAGATGAAAAAAGTCAAACATTATGATTTCCCTTATGTGAGGTATCTACAGTAGTCAAACTCATAGAGACAGAAAGTAGAATGGTGGCTGCCAGGAGGCTGGGAGGAAGAGGAAACGGAGAGTTACTGTTCAATGGGTACAGAGTTTCAGTGTAGGAACATGAAAAAGTTCTGAAGGTGGATGGTGAGGATGGTCGCACAACAATATGAATGTACTTATCGCCAAAAATGTACACTTAAAAATGGTTAAAACAGTATTTTTTGTTACATATATTTTACCATATAATAAAAAAATTTCAATTGGCCTCATGAAATAGCTAACTTTTGAAATACATAAAAATAACAAGGATATACATAGCTTATTTCCACTGAAAACTTCATACCTACTCAAATGAGAATCTCACAACTAACAGTTCTCTGGTTTGGTTTTTTTTTAAGATTTTATTTATTTATTTGACCGAGAGAGATATAGCCAGAGAGGGAACACAAGCTGAGGGAGTGGGAGATGGAGAAGCAGGCTTCCCGCTGAGCAGGGAGCCCAGTGTGTGGCTCGATCCCAGGACCCTGGGATCATGACCTGAGCCGAAGGCAGATGCTCAAAGACTGAGCCACCCAGGCGCCCCTGTTTTCCTAATAAAACCAAAATATAAAAACTAATCCTTACTCCAAATCCCAACTCCTTCACTAGTTCAATTAATGTGTTTAGCATTCATTCAATAAGCCCCAGAACAAGCACTGGGAAGATGCTATGACCTTAGAATCTTATAAGAGAGAGAAAAGAGGGAGAAAAGGTCGAAATAATTAACAATACAATATAAATATTATAAATGCTACAGGATCACAAAGGAATGCTTCATGAGTGAAGGATTCCCTGGAGGAAGTGGTAACTTTGGGTTCTATCAACTCTGAGTCTCAAAGAAAAAAATCAGGTGTTAGCCAGACACTTAAAATATAAGCATTCCTGGAAAAGATAAGAAAAACATCAAAAGCATAAACATTATGTGTTCTGAGATTTAAGTAATTCCTTGAGAAAAGGGGAGGAAGCTGAAACTAGAAGCTGGTGAATGATCAAGTCACAAAAGATAACGTAAGTCATGGTAAAACATACAGGCTTTGGGCTTTATGTTATAGAAATGCAGTATCTGTGAAAGGTTTTCATAAAGGCCACTTTAGGCTGGTTTGAACATCAGATCACTCTAGCAGCAGCTGGGAAAAATGGGCTTGAAGAGGGTACAACTGTAATCTTGAAATAAACTAGGAATAGAGAACAATGTACAAGTAAAAGATACGACTAAACCAAAACAGTATTAGAAATAATGAAGAGGAACCTATCTGAAATTGATTTAGCTGTGTCACCATGAGCAAGTTACTTAAACTTTTTGCTTACCCATCAAAGAGAATTATACCAGTATCACAGGATTATGTTGAAGATTAAAACAAAGCAACATGTATAAAAACACTAGCTTTGTGCCAGATATACAGGTGTTCATTAATTTTTACAGCACTTATCCTTAACCATATACGAATCTATTTAATTTTCTACTAAAACTTATGAAATGGTACTTAAAATATTCTCATTTTAATATAGGGGTTTTTGCAGAACCTGAAAATATAAATTCTGAATATGGAGAGGTCAAAGAAGAAACCTGAGACATCTACTCCAATTCTCTCATTTTGGAAATAAGGAAAAGATACGGTTAAATATTGAAGATAAAACTTAATGTTAACATAGACAGTTTGGTGAATATAAGTATTTTTTGAGGGGAATAAAGAAGGGGGTTTGTGGTGTTGTATGTTGAGTCTACCAGTGTGTTTAAGTATTAGCATACACTGGTATTTATCGCCATCACTCATTAATAACCCCTCAATTCTACACTGCATAAACAGAAAATTTCAAGTACCATTCTACTGTTAATCTTGGCTTTATATCATTAAAGCACTCAATTCAAGATTCTAGAACACCAAGAATCCACCTCGAAATTAAACATTACTCCTTTGTTTCATATCATTCTTTGAAAATGCTGAATCTTCAATAAAGGAATTATGATAGAGTTAGGAATGGCCAATGAATAATACATCCGTAGTGAACCGAAGTCACCACATACGTTTTAGGTGCCATTTTGAGTAAGACTAAGAACAGCAAGGTCCATTAACTAAGTGAAAATGTGATCCCTGGCTAATACCTTGGACTGCCTCAAGCAAAATAAAATAAAAACTGTCAAACGCCTTTTAAAAGGAAATGACGCCTGCGGGCATTTGCATTCACCTAAGTCTCAAAGCTAACACTATGTTTCCGAAGTAGAAACCCAATATAACGCTTGATGAAATGAAAACAAAGCATAAAGTTCACAATCTACCTCGGGATAAAACTGAAATTGGTACAAAATGGGTGTTTGAGCCAAAGGCAGCAAGGGGTAAGCTATGGGGAGCTGTTAAGGGAAACCCCAAACACCACGAAAGCTAACCTTCCATCCCAGGTCCTTCCATCCCTCCCTTACCTCAGGCTTCCCCCTCCTTGACCCTCCCCTTCCACAGCTACCACTAACGAGTCCAAGAAAATCCCACTACACCTCTAGCCTGGTCCCGGGTGCCTGAGGACACACCCTCACCTCTCCTGGCTCACTAGGACAGCGACAGAAACTATTCTGCAGAGTCACCACTCCGAGGAGCTGACTCGTGCTCCCCATCCCCACTCCCCACCCACCCGGGCCAGAAGGGGCAGCGATCCCTCAGGTTGTAGAGCTCGGAAGTAGCAGGCAGAGAGAAAGGGGCCAGGTCATCGCCACGCCGCAGTCCCCCCCACCCACGCCTGCCCGGTCCCCTCCCCCGCCCCGTGCTCAGCCGGGTGTCTGCCCTGCAGGCCCGGCCTACTCAGAGGCCTAGCGCAGTACAGAACTGCAGGGCGAGGAAGGAGCTCACCGGAATAAAGCGGCATGGCGGCACAAGAGACGGCAGCGGTGCAGGAAGGCTGGGCCTGGCAAGGGCGTCGAAGGGAAAGGGACGCGATGAAGCAGCCGCGGCAGCCAAGGAAGAGGCGCGGTAGTGGCGGCAGCACGGGTGCGACGAGAGTCTCATTCAAACCGGCCACTGGCGATGACGCAGCAACACGCAATTTGCCCGCCTGCAGAGCCACAGGGCGACTGCAGGAGAAGACCCGGCGCGCTGAGCCGGCGAGGCGGGGCCTGGAGGGTGGAGAGCTGAGGGAGGTGGGAGGGGAAGCCGCGCGAGGCCGCCGCCAAGCGCGGGCGCGCGGCCCCTGCACCAGTACAGGTGCACGCCTGCGCCTGCGCAGCGCCCTGCGCTGCAGCACTCCCACCGCCGAGTGGGCCTGGCCCTGCCCCGCCTGGCCCCCGCTGGATGCTAACCTGGTACCCCTCAGCTGTCTTTTTAAAAAAGTCTTTCTTCCGAAAGAGTGGTTCAATTCGAGCTGGGCATTTTTTTTTCTTGTTAATATAGCCAGTAGAAGAGCTCAGAGAGGCCCTGCTCCACCCCTCACCTGGGTCTGTCTACTTATTAAAAAATACCCAGCTCTTTTTTGTGACAAAATGCGTGTCAAAAGGCTTTGAATACTGCAGAGATAGGCCTGCCTTGATTGTAATGTATTACTGTCGTTTCTACCTAACAACCGGTTCGGACTCTAGGTTGGATCTTGTAAGATAGCAGAAAAAAATGCCCTGCGTTGGTGGGTGTTGCCCGTAGCTCTCCACTTACTTGTCTTGGACCTGTTTCCCCAATCTGGAAAAAGAGAGAATTCAACTGGATGGTTTCTGAGGCCTCTTCAAACTCTAAATTGTCATGGGGAAGGTAAATTCAAGCATTCTAGATGAGAAGTAGAACCTATAAGTGAAAGGAGAAATTTCAAAGAAATTCAAGTCAAATTTGAGGTACTTTCTTACCTTATAGAGGCTTTATTTTGATCCCAAATGCTGCAAAAGTGTTGAAACTGTCCATATTTCAAGACAAAAATTTTCCGCATTTCAAAACGCTACAACCCATTCAGAGACCGATTTCATGAATATACATCAGGAGTCATTTTCACCCTTCACTACTTCAAGTCCTATGAGAATAGGATCCAAAATGTGACCGAAACAGCACAACGATGCTGTAGAATATTTTTCAAAGTGATGTATGTAATATTAAGTGGAAAGGGTATATCAAACTTAATGAGCATTGATTGCAAGTACGTAAAATTAAAATTATTGGTCATAAAGATTTGTCTGAATCCAGTTATTACCAGCTGTGTGACCTCTCAACTTCAGTTCCTTCTCTATGAAATCAAGAATAATATCTACATTATAGGATTCCTATGAAGATTAAATAAGATTACATATAGAAGATGCTTAGCACAGAGCATTGAACCTAGTATGCCACAAATAGCTATTACCGATTACACAATAAAAACTCCAGAGGGATTTTATAGGGTATGGTTAGAGCAGACTATGGGTAGCTTTGTTCTCTATTTTCCAAATGTTCAGTCATATATTTCTATAAAATATATCTTTTTATTTAATTTTAATTCCAGTATAGTTACCATACAGTGTTGTATTAGTTTTAGATGTACACTATAGTGAGTCAACAATTCCATACAGCACACAGTGCTCATCACAAGTGTGCTCCTTGATCCCCATCACCTATTTCACCCACTCCTGACCCCCTTCCCCTCTAGTAACCATCACTTTGTTCTCTATAGTTAAGAGTCTCTTTCTTGGCTTGTTTCTTTTTCCTAAAATATATCTTTAAAAACATATTGGATAGATCCTCTACGGGAAAAATCTTTGTTGCCCTGTATGACGTTCCCAGTAAGGGAGGCCCTAAAGATGGAAGGATGACCCTGCAAATCATCCTCTCTACTGTGCTCTTATTGTACCCTGTTTTCCCCTCCAGTAACTTTCATCAAACTTATGTTTCTTTAATGTCTATATTCCCCCACAAGACTATAAACAGAAATCGTGGCTGTCCAGTAGGCACTCTGGGTTTATCTGATGCTGTGAGAACCGGATGTGAGAGCAACCGATTTTGAACCTACTTATGCTATACATGCCCAGAGAGTCTTCCAGAACAAGTCTGTTTTCAGCTCACACTGACCAACGTTTCAGTAAGACTAACTTCTAGCCTGGTTGCAGGATCAAGAACCTGAATTTAAGACAAATGGAAGAGAGTGAGGATGTGGACCAGTACTAGCAACTAAAAGGAAGTGTCAAAGGAAATTTACATAGCTAGCCTTCCTGGATGTCAGCAGGAATTGTAGATGATAGCAACCTTGCCCTATATACCATATGTGGCTAAGCCCTCGTCTACATGTATCTAATGGATGGGATCTTCTGCTTAAGGTTGACTTTTTTTTTTTTTTTAAAGATTTTATTTATTTGACAGAGAGAGACACAGCGAGAGAGGGAACACAAGCAGGGGGAGAGGGAGAGGGAGAAGC